GCCCATCGTCGAAATCGACGGGGGAACTGTCGTTATTTCGCCAATGACTCACCTTCTTACCATTCATATTTCATGATTATTTTTTACGAATTTTTGTATACTTATACGAACTGCAGGAATTTTTGCATCTTGACTACTTGTTATGCATTCATGTACTGTCATTTACTCCAAATATGCTGATGGACTACGGACTGCTATCAAACTGGAACTTACTGGAGGGTATCTCGAAGGAAAGACAAGTTTGTCTGCTCCGAGACCGTGAAGGTCGGACTCACACAGGGCCAAAGACAAATTGTTGGTTGTGTTTTTTCGCCGCCAGATTTCAAGAGCTCAGCGTCGCCACCGGAGACGTCAGCCGGGGGATCTGCAGTCTGGAGGGGTTTGGCGTCAAGCAGTTTGCGCATCCGTTGAATAGGCGAATATAGGTCTGGAGTGGTGACTAACTTGAGGACAGGGTTGGGGGAGGAGAACTGGAATTAACTGAATAAGTAGGATTTTCTATCCAAAGAAACATCCGGATTGGCAAAAATCAGTTTTTGTGCATGTGATTACACATTACTTTGATTAAACCTAGCAAAGTCGTCAACGATAACTAGTATCCAAAACATTAATCATAGAAGCATTGACAAACTAAATTATCTGGGTCGGGGTTTGCAACTCAGGCGGCGGGAGTACGCGAACCTTGCCCTTGTTGTCGTGAGTTCGAATCCCAACTGGGACGTCGAAGTTCAAACAACTAGACTATTACAATACAGGCGGATTAGCCATCAGAATATTGTCCATTTTCAAGTGACCTACTGAGATGAAGACAGCCTTACCTACCTACTAGACGTGAACACTCGCCCGGATGTCTTATAAATCAGCCCAGATGAAGTTTTGGACGCGCGTGGGATCATATTCCCATCTCTTAGGCTTCTTGCAAAAATAGGATGCATGACAGCTACTGATATCATTATTGGAATATATTACTAGAAATCCTATCTGCTGGTCTTGGTTAGTATAATTACTAGAATTAGCACTCTTAGCAGTGGCATATTACCTCTAGCAGCAGTATCCTAGCTCGAACTTAGTAAAATGTGACACAAATTGATGATATATTGTGAAACTCACAATATTTCGTCGAATGCGCAATTTGGATTTCGTAGGGGTAGGTCATGTGTAGCAAACTTGCTTTATACGAT